TTTTTATTTCACACTAGTAATTTTGTTGTTAGAAAGCAAAGTTGTTCTTTGAAGCCTTTTATGGTTTCCTTGCAAAGAAATGTTCTTCTTTACACTGCTTGGGAATGTCTCCATTAACCTGTTTTTGCACTTTTCTTTTAACAAACATTTCAACAAACCTCCTTTTTCCCACACCCAAAGGGAGGACTCACTATAAAATTGATGGCAGTTGTCATGGAGTTTCTGTGAATTTGAACTGCAGTAACTGGAAAATAGCCAGAGGTCTGGCTGTAAGCCCAAAGGCCTGGCTACTTACAGACTTTGGACTAAAAAATGAGGTTTGGGAACGATTGAAAATTGACTTTTCAAAGTGGAAGCGTAAATTTAAGGTTTATTTATAAAAATAATGCAGTGTTTTGAGCCAGAACATTTTCCTTGAGGGCCAAAGTGGCCCCTGAAAACCTTTTTTAGGGGCCAAGTTTTTAGGAAAGGAACCAATAAATTGAGAGCTACAGAAGGAAAAAATGTGTCAGGGTACCAAGGAAACGAAAGCAGTTCATTAGAATCTATGATAAAATTTAACAGTAAGTGCTTTTTGAAGTGTTTCTTCTGAATAAAGTTTATTTTGAATCAGATGTTGGTATGAAGGATCCATGCATTACAAGAGAACAATCCACAGGCATACATGACGTAGTCAATGAACAAGGGTTTGCAGTACATTAAAGGGCGGTTTCGAGCACAGTCAGCCACTTGGAAGTTTTCCAATGTGAGAGAATCAATACAGCATTGAGCAAAGCAAAAGGGTGAATTGACTTCTTTTCTTACGTTGAATGATTCAGAAGCAAAGATCTTTCAATATAATTTTCTCGAAGGACAAAATGTGTGACAAAATAACCATTATTGATCGTTGACACAGAGAAATCTAGTCGCCATTATGGCAACTAAACCAGAATTTTTGTTTGTCAAAGATGAAATGTTAGTTGTATTGGCAACCATATCAGTCGCAATTTTGAGCCCTGGGATGGCTTTTAAAATGCTATGCCTGTGTTAAGCCTGCAGCCTTGTAAAAGAAAAGGGCCAAACTGGCCTTTTTTGTTTTTCTGGGGGCCATCTCTGACTTCAACGCGGGATTCCTGCAATGGTGCGGTCTGGCAGAAACACTGCATATGTGACCCCATCCTTGTCAACATGTTTTTTGGGAGGAGTGGGTGAACTCTGTTCAAATGAACAAACCATACATCTTCAGAAACCTTTGAATGCAGAAAGACAAAAACATGGGTCAAATGTAGGGCAGTACGACCAAACAATGCTTCAAGATAGAACAAGAACCATACTTCACAGAAGAATTGCCTAATGCCAAACCAACTCCTCTAGACATGGCAACAAAAGATGTCAAAGTCATCACACTACTGGTGTGAAAACACCAGCCTGCTACTTCGCATGCAGTGCATGTCATAAAAGAAATGAAATAAACAAATGGCAAGTTACTGAAATGTGACAACTGCAAACAGTTGACCAGAGAATTACTACAGAGAGCAAACAAAGGTATGTCAAACTATTCGTTCAAGACATAACCAACAAAGAAAAGTTCAACACTGCAGCTTTTCACAACCAACTACAAAACTTCTTTGAAGCAAAACAGAACTCCACCCAACCCTAACTGAAGACGAAATCAATGGAATTCTTCTAGAGACAAATAAGACAACAGTGATATACAAATATTTGGCAGATGGAAAACTCTTCCATGTTAACAGCCATTAAATGAATATATGTATTTATTATATAAAAGTCAGTGGTATACTGAGTTGTAACAAATTGATAAAAATGATACAATATCCTCACATGTGAAGATATCACTTTTGACCAATCAGCTTGCAGTATTTTCACGCACTATCAAACACTTGTGGTCTGCCGAACCGTCCCCATCATCTGCTGAGAGTTTCTGCTTTGGCTTTTTCACAAGTCAAAGTTAAGTTTAGTTTTATTCTAATACGGAAACAAGCAGGTTTGTCGAGATCACAGATGATGAACTGAACGAATTCATCACAGGACGACGAAATCCAAATACAAAGAAGAAAACTGCATACAAGGTCGAGCTATTGAACAGGTTCATTCAGACATCAAATCCTGGCTTGCTTGATTCAACATCTCTTCATGAGCATTCACCCCAAGTTCTGAACAACCTCCTTTCGAAATTCATCTTTGGCATTAGAATAAAAAAGGCTCCGAATATGAACCAACAAGTTTGAGAGGTTTTCTTTCAAGCATCCACAGATACATGTATCTGAACAAACAAAAATACGGCTTCACAATTTTTACTGACACTGAGTTTAAAACTACAATGGCTACCCTCAAAGCAAAACAAATGGATCTAAAAGCCAAGGGAGTTGGAAACAAGCCTATGACATCTGATGGCCTAACAGACAAGGAAATTGAAAAACTGTACGCTTCCAAAGGCCTGGGGATTGAAAGCCCTCAAGCCGTTATAAACACTTTGTAGCTAAATTCAACCATACATTTTGGCCTTTGCGGCAGCAAAGAACAGAGAACAAACACCCGGCAGAAAAGAGTATTTAGAATACTCGGTTAAGAGACAGACTAAAACTAGAACTGGATCTGACCGTAGAGATATGCAGAAGATTAAGCCAAGAATTTACTCTTCTCCTGATCTACCAGCTGAGAGAGATCCAGTTTGTGTTTACAAATTTTATGCAAGCAAGCGCCTGGAAAGCATGAAGACTGAGGATTCCCCATTCTACTTGGCGGTGAATAATATTCAGCCATCCAGCCTATCAGTAAGACCCTGGTATAAAGTACAACCCATCAGTGTAAACAAGCTCAACAGTTTGCTAGAAGACATGGTAAACGAGGTTCATCTTAGACTAGAAAATGAGCGATCGACAAACCATAGTGCTCATAAACACCTTGTACAGAGGTTAAATGACAACAAAATACCTCCAACATCATGCAGATCACAGGACATCGAAATGTTAATTCTTTAAACAACTATTCTTCCTTGTCAGACAAACAAAAAGAAAACCTATCCAGAATTTTGTCGTTCAGAGGCCAGAATGACGATCAATTGCAAGAACCACGCGCATCCACTGGTACAACACACCTTGCTATGGAAGAATATCAGTGCATTCATAGCGCTGAAGGACTTCGGATGCCTCTAACAGGGCTTGGGTCATTAATAAGCAGAACAATTGGTGGAGGATCATTCAAGATAAATGTGAATTTGCAGCAGAATAACTCTCGTTAAACGTGAAAGCACATCTGAAAGTAGTAAGAAATGAAAGCTTGAAAACAGTGACAAAAGCCAGGAGTAAGCTTAAAGAACAGTATGTTACTTGATACTGTTTACCAAATTTCCAACCATCTTTATTGCCTTTAGTTAAGACCATTTCCTATTTATAGAGATTTTATTTCGGCCTTTTCGCTTAAGTCTTTCTTTGTATTGAAATAACATGTCCTTGTTTACAATTCATACAAATAAACAATTGACTACAAGCTTATGTAGTCAATTTTGAAATAAAAACTAAATCATCTTTTGTTGTATTGTGAGGATTTTATATAATAAAACAAAGATTACATGTCTGCTTGGAGATTTCACTCGTTCACTGCACTCACTTGTGAAATATTTTTCAACACTCAAAGAGAAATTCATATCTCCGTGCAGCCATGTAATATCCTCTATATATATAAACAAGAACAATTAAACAAGTGTTTTATTCCCATAGTGAACTGGACTAATTTGACTTCTTTGTTTTTCTTTTTAAATACATGTAAACAGTCAATAATTATGGCACAAATACATACATACTATCAAATCAGGAATATGTATGTATATGCACAGTTTTAAAAACAAGTTTTATTGCCAGAATGAACTGGACTTGTTTGTTATTGTTTTTTTTTCTTCTTAAATACCAGTTTACAGCCAATAATTATGGCACAAATACATACCATCAAATCAGGAATATATAAACAAGAACAGTTTAAGTAAGTTTTATTCCCAGAGTGAACTGGACTTCTTTGTAATTGTTATTACCATCTTAAATTCACTTAAATATCTGAAGGTTGTTTATACCAGTCCATAGCATTTCCACGTTTGGAAATGTGCAAAACAATAGTCTAACGTAGACTTATCTGCCATATTTTTGGCATCTCCATTGTCAATTTTGGCAAATGGCATGGCTTTCCAAAGTTGCTCAGTCCTTTTCAGGGACCCAATCAATTTGCTGTTCTCCTGCCTCAGTCAGACAAAACATCCCAATAGCATAATAAGTACCACATGCTAAGTTCCTTCAAAAGAACACTTCCTTTCCGATTTCACCAACTACTTGTCTGGCTCCAGAAAACTTCAATGACCCAGTTTGTACAGTGAATCGAATCTTTTTAGAAGGTTTTTACCACAGTTGATCAGACCACCAGGAAATATACCTTCCAAGCTTTCACTAGTTTCCACCTGGCACATTACAAGTGTCCAGAACGACATTTTCACAACAAAATACTAGAAACCAGACATACTGGTCTCTGACATTTTGATTCTCCTGGTAGCCCCTGCACCACTAACTGGTTTCCATGCTTCAAAGAAACGAGACATCTCCCGTGTATCTATTCCTTCCGGCCTGTGCCACGTGCACCAAGAAAATTCGAGTTCTCATGCTACATGTTCTCGAATGTAAATTTTTTTTTAATCACCCAATAATAAATTACTGGATTCAACTTTCGGAAAGTATTAGTTTGGCGATTTGTTTTCTTTCTTGTTTTTTTGTCAATGCCTGTCGAATAATCATACTCGCCTGAGCACGGGTACACTTTAGACACGGGGCCAAACTAAGTCACACATTCCAAACATTGACCTGGCGGCCACATTTACTGAGGCCATGTTGAGTGTGAGACAAATAACAGCTCCAGTGACAACACGATATGGAGGAAGGACCAGAAAGGGCAAGTTAGGAAGCAGCACAAAGGCAGGAATGTACAATTAGTGCAGGCGTTTGACTGGCTCATCCTACATACAGGAAAGTTGCATGTGGAGATGAACATGGGAAAGTACTTTCTTGAGTTTAACTGGGAGGTGCTCATGTCTTCCTTCGCTATGGAACTTGGTTTCTCTAGCAAGGCTGCCCAGTTGTATGCAAAATGTGGGGGCAACACCCACTACACCATGACTTTGCTCAAAGTTGCATACAAACGAACATGGATGGAACTTCATGTCCCATATGTGCGAGAACAACTGAGCAGTGGGAAGGAACTGTCTGTCAATGACTTCCTTTATGAGTGGTACCCGACAATGAAAGATCCAAACTACCAGTTCATGTTCCAGATGGTGTGGAAGTACCTGGCTGGTTTCTTTACCTCCCATTATGGCGTTCGAAGGAAAAACAAGATCTATGTGCAAGCAGGCATAGAATCATTTGCAGATTTGTTCCACTACAAGGGTTCTTCAAAGTATGGAACAATCGAGTTACAAGACCGGTAAGCTTTTCTCGCAGCCTTTGTTAATTACAGAAATTTCTCAATCTTAAGTAGGCTATTTTCGACCTTTATTAGGCCAGTTAGATGTCCAATAATATTTTGAGGGGAATTTCTGTTTATTTGTCATTTCATGCAAACAAATTCTAAGGACTTGTAAAAGGTGATTAATCAGTAGACACGTTTGCTGGGCAGCACAAGAACCCCCCTAGGTGGCACCAATCCATTAGCTTCCGTAACCACACATAATAATGTAGGCATTTCATTTGAAAAACACTGACCACTCTAGCAAATACTATGGGGTTAATGTCGAACTAAAACTGAACATAAGAGAATTTACATGCACAACTGCTGTAAGGGAATGGAGGATTTCATTTGACCTTAACTGTAGTACAAGGACAGCTGTAGCCCATGATCCTGAATTAAGCTTGAGTCATAAGTCCAAGAGCTTTCTTGTTGTTCAACACCACTCTGAAAGTGACATTGGTCAACATACCAGTGTACATTGTAGTAATACACAATAAGATTTGATATAAATTTAAATCTCTCCTCAAAATTATTATATTTCAATAGATGTGCACAGAGTCTTTACTCAGAAGAGGTTAGTACTTTCCAGGCACAGTAAGAGTCCATCTCGACCTCTGGCAATCCATCAAAGGGGGACGACATGGATGCGCAACTGGAAGAGGTGAACAAGCAGTCAAAACTGTGGCACAGAGGAGCCACTATCGCCGTGGACTGGTTGCACATCTTTAGAAACCTCGACAAATTGTCAAAGGTGATATATGAAATCCACTGTTTTTCTGGCTTTCCAATGTGCCTCCTCCAAGGTATTACATATGTACATATGACACTGTTTATTTTAGCAATCAGCAGAAACTTCAACATGTCATGAATGCCAAGTTTTTTTAGAGGCAAAGGATCACTGTATTTCTTGATAGGGAACCTTTTTAATTAAATGATGTAAATGAAAACAAATTTAATCCCTCTAGCAGTCCATTTATTTGTCAGTGTTTATTTTTACCTTGAATGGTGATCTGTGCCCTTCTTTGGTGCACTATACTAGAAATGTTGAAGGAAACATGAACTGCATGTTCATAATTATGACAGAAAGTAAGATAGTTGCAGGTATTTTTACATGCACGCGTTGGTACACAAATTTTCTAATAGTGGTACACTACACTGTAATATTGGAGATATGATGGTTAAATGATAAACTGGTCTTTGTATGACAATAACAATAATTGTGCACAATTTAAAGGATAAAATTTGTCTTTTTTGTACATACATGTAGTTGCATACATGGCTGTTTAAAATTGCTGGGATGAAAGATCCCAAAGACTATGCAGTGTTGGCAAGGAGAAAATTTGATCTTAATTCTGAAATTTTGGCTTGGAGGATAAAGCTTCAAAGAGAATGGTATGTATATACAATTACATATTATTTTATAACTGTAACTCTGCAATGTCAAGATGGGGATTATTGAGAATTATTATTACCAATCCAGTACTAGAAATTAAGCAAGAAAGGTTGTATTTAAATGTCAGTTAAAGATTGGCAAATGATTCAAAATTATTTAATATAAATTAGATTTTCACAGAAAACCTAATTAAAAACTGATTTTTAAGTTGACATCATCTAAGGTTTATGAATGGGTGCCACATAATTCTTGAATTAAATTAATTTCCTATTTTTTGTTTGTTAATATTGTATATTTTACATATTTAACCAACCCACATGGACTACAGGAACACATGTCTGTCGAGGAACACCACTGGACCACCAGCTCTCTGAATTCCATTCTAAGTTAGCAGCAAATAGGCAGCGGTGTCATCTAGACATTGCCGTTGGTGGAAAAAGCAGAAGTGAAGTAAAAATTAACAATGTGTACGTGACCCCAGAAAACAGGAGGAAGGACAAAGATATCAACAAAAGCAAAAATTGTTGTGAGAACAGAGGAAAAATTGTTGGCTGTGTGTGACTGAGACTAGTGAATGCTTGCAGGTTAAGTGGTCACCCGTGAAAAGAGACAATAAAGTTAAAAAGGAACAGGTGATTGAATTCTATCAGGACATTTGTTCAGAAATTGCCCAACAGGAACAACAGGAAGTTGGAGCATTTGTCATCGAATGCAAAGAAGACTAAGAAAATTGTGCCTAAGCTTTTTGACAGTTTTTAAGCCCTTAAAATGTTTATTTATCACAGTTTGTAATGTTCTTAAAACATGGGTTTTCTATTGGGCTCATTTACCAGATTTAAACACTAATTAAAAAGAAAATCCACCTATTATGTAATTTTCGCATGCTGGGCTCCTGAACCTTTGATCAGCAAAATATTTTTGTACCTGTATCTCTGACCAAAAACAAAGTTAGGAGAGGTTTATCATGCTGTTAGTTATTCATTACTTGTCTATCAGTTATGCTTATATGCATGTACATGTACAAGCATTTCTTTCATAGACAGGCTGTGGTTATTTAAGGAATTTGATTATATTTTTTTCCATGGTTATAGTAGTAACTAGAATGTTATCACTACTATACATGCTAATCAAGTGTTTTTATACACTTTGAAACGTAATTGTATGTTTTGCAATTTTTATATTCAGAGAATTATTCAGAGAAGAATCATGATTACATTGCTTATATGCATATATTGCTTACAGAGGTTTGTTAAAATAATTTTCTCTTCCAAATTTTTCAAACCATCATTTTGCAAAAAAAATAATAAAAAGAAGGTAAAGTGATGGAGAGAATTCAAAACAGCGTTTGGTGCCAAACGTGATAAAATAACTGCATGTATGTTGGTAACAGTAGTATTCAAGTACACAGCTGTTGTTTTTAAAGTTTTTAATAGGCTCTGCTGGAGACCCAACAGGACATGGCACTGAACCATTTCATTCACTTTTAGTGTCACTGCCACTTGGGACTAACATTTACGTCTGTGGCCTGACAGGACCAAGCACTGAACTGAAACATTAAGTTGTAGTGTCACTGTCACCAAAGTCAAGTTCGGACACTAGACCGAAAGATGGATTACATATTTGTAACAACTTAGGATTTGAAAATGAACATAACTTGTTTAAATCACTGTTGATGAATTTCTTGTCTGATCATAATAAAAATTCTCTAGATTTCATTCCCGTTGTGGGGCATTTATTACTACTGTCATTGACTCATCTGAAATGAAGCTCATTGCCACTTGTGATGGTTGTGGTGTGCAAAGGGCTTTTTCTTGTTCTGTCAGATTTGGTAATGGCCTCCTGAAAAGAACCTCTTGTATACTCTGCTTGACAATAACATTTTGATTTGCTGCTCTACCATGAATGTTGAGACCAAACAATTCGGACATGTTTTCATCCAATGGAAGTTTCTTAGGAGTGTCTTCAAGTGGAGCTACCCCCAAACTTTCACCATCTTCCGGTTTAATTGTTTTGGTAACGTTTGCAAATTCTTTGGTTCCTGTTGGAGCCAGCTTTCCAGATTCGTACTGATTCTTTAAAAGGTCAGATGCACAGATTTTTCTTTCTCTATCGGTTTGTACAATCACTAGCACTTCTGCCCCAGTCATAACGTGGAGCTTGAAACCATATGCGAGAAGCGTATTTTTCCGTCTAGTCAGGGTGCTGCTGTGTCTTGTTTGATTTTTGATGAACTTTAAACTCTCCTTTGGTCTTGGTCTTGACCCTTTTCTCTTTAGCCTCGTTGTGAACAACACTGACACTACAAAATACAAAAGCAGCAAAATTTGAAATGTTGTGT